CTACCATTTAAAACTGTGGCCCACAGAGCAGCCTGGGTGGTAAGAACTCAAAAAAAAAAAAGTGATAGAAACTGTAGCTGACAGGGGCAGTGGCTCTCAAACCTTGCAGCACATTGGAGTCAGTAGGGTGTTTGTGCAGGGCTTTGTGGGGAGAGGGAAAGGAAGTAAAAATACCAGCGTCCAGCCCACCTTATCTTTAAGGGAAGGTCTCAGGCATCAGCAGTTCTCGGCTGCCTCCCAGGTGGCCAAGAACCTGAATTGGAGCAAAGGAGAATCTGAGGGAAGGTAGGGGGCTGGCGCACAAGCCTGCAGGCCAAGCAGTCACATTAGCAGCTTGAGTGGGAAAATGAAGGGTTACACAGCAGAGGGCTCACAGTTTTTTTTTTGGAAGATAGGAAAGGTGATAGTGAGAAGGAAATTAAAAAAAATATATGAATCCATTAGTAGACGTCTGATGTAAGCTCATCCAATGAGCATAGGATGAGGAAAAAAATAAAACCTGTATGATCAAAGGACCTAATGTGACTAAATATTTAGGTGAAGATTCTTAATTGGTTCCAAGTTATTTCTAACTTGTTATTTTAAAATCAACAAAGATAGGCTTGATAGAAGAATGGAGGAGAACACGTATTGTAAATATTTGTAGCTTTGCTCCACAGCCTGTCCCCTGATGGTGGCAGGCAGACATTAGGATCCTATCATTCCCATAACTCTCAGCTCATACACACCTCTTCAGGACAGAACCTGTAGCCTGAATGGTCTGGGTTATAACAGGAGGCTATCGGGACAAGAAAACCCAAACATGTATTTAAATGAAGAAACGCCTGTAGTCAGTTAGAAATAACCTGATAGAGTCCATTTGACCAGAACTGCTTTCCCAGTGTTTTTTGTTTGTTTGTCTGTTTGTTTTGGTTTTGCTAGGGGAGGCTTTGTTCATGGTACTGCTCAATACTTTTTATAATCAAATAAAAGTAAAATTATCCAGGTGTCTGCACTTGGCAGATTGTCAAATTAGGCTCTTCTGAACCAATACCTTCAGTTTCAGGCCCTTCCTAGATGTGCTGTCTCCTTAAGGAATCCCATTTTCCTGGTACGTGAATGAACTGTCTGGGTCAGTAATTGGCAAACTGTGGCTCTCAAGCCATATTCAAACTGTGGCTCTTTGGCCCCTTGAGTGTGGCTCTTCTACAAAATATCACGGCCTGAATGAGTCTATTTTGAAGAAGTGGTGTTAGAAGAAGTTTAAGTTTAAAAAATTTGGCTCTCAAAAGCAATTTCAATCGTTGTGCTGTTGATATTTGGTTCTGTTGACTAATGAGTTTGCCAACCTCTGGTCTGGGTCATAGTGGGGGCATCCAAGGCTTTCATTTGCCCCCCAGGGTTATTTTTCTAAAATGGCTGTTAGATTATTCTCTGCTTTTAGCAGCTGGGGAGGGTCCACTTACTGAGATCGGAGGTCAAGGTTAACCCTGTCCCTTTCTGGATTCAGTCAGACGGTTCCTGTCCTGCCTCTTTCCAAGCCAGTCCCCACAGCCCAAAGCACAGCTTATGCAGCGTGAGAATTGCTTTCCTCAGAAAGGGACTGACACAGAATTTGAGTGTGTCCTGAAGATTAAGAGACATAGGTTTTTATTTTATAAGTGAGCTCTAAAATTATCTTCCCTGCTCAGGCAAGGAAATGTAGTTTTAATATTTCTTATGAAAATTCCTCTTTGCATTGTTTTAGGCTCTATGCTTTCCTCTTCCCCATGAGAAGCCTAATCAAAGTTGAACAAACTCATTATAAAATGTTACAATTGTGTTCATACTTATAGACATTAGGCTAAAATAGCCAAGAGGTGATCATCTTGGCATCTTCATAAACCGTCACATGGAAAGCCCTCTGCTCAGGGTAGGTAGTTACTCTAATCAAGTCCCATTCAGATGTCAAGAAAACATTTTCTGCAGCAACTAGAATCCCACAATGAAGAGATGTGGCTACAAAGAAAGTGAGCGCTGGTGACGGTGACAGGGATGCATGTCTGATGGTGCCTTGGTAGCCCTGCTTTTCCAATGCAGCTTTTCTGTGATGCAGCTGCTGAAAGGTGCTCTCACAATGAGGGCACCACTTGGAAAGCACTTCTCCCCTTCTTGGGTTCAGCAAGCATTTCAGAACTCTGCGCCCTGTGTGGAGCTGGTGGGGCAAAGGTGAAGAGAAATTTTCAAACATTTCCTTCACACTCCCTAAAGCCGACCTGGAACACTCTGTCTACATATAGCCCACTGAGAATCCCAGTCTAAGGAACTGCATAGACTGTAAGGAGCAGAACTGTATTTCAAATACTTGGGCATTTGGCCAAGTCACCTTTCCATGTCATTCTAAATTCACTGATTATTCAAATAGTAAAACATATGTAAGAGGAACGGGTCAATGGTTACAAAAGGAATCCATATGCAAATCTATTTGTGATGACTGAGTGAATAATGAGTGAGTTTAGTGAACTGTGATCCCCCTGCTGGTCTGGGTTATCAGTGTGAACTTAACAGAGGAAACTGAGTCTGACGTGGTTTTTATCATTGAACAGAGGCTGGCAGAAACGTCATGTTTAATGGCATCATCCTGTCCTCTGCAATCAGTAGAAAATAGGTTCAATTTTTGGCAACTAACAAGATGGATCCACAGATGTGCTTCCTATTTTAGCGACTTCCACATCTAACTGGGAAACACAAAGTAAAAACTCTTCATATTGAAGTTGTCCAGAGACAGAAAAGGAGAAATGCAGCCTGTTTTTGTGGATTCTTTTCAGTTGAAAGTTCCTCTAGATGTCAGTATTACATAGGGAAATGAAAATATAATAGGCCAAGGTAATGGATAAAGACCTTACATTATTCAATTGATAAAACACATGTGATATATAATTGGTGGAAAAACCAACCTCATTTGGAAGTTGGTTGCTTATATTCCTCAGGATTGAATGTCAGGTTCCCCTGTGACTTGAGTCAGGCTGCTGGACCCCAAGAATGCTAGCCCAGTTTGTGGACATTTGCCACGGACACAGTAGACAGCCTCAGAGGCAAACACTGATCTCTCATCACTCTGGTCTTACAAACAAATTCTGAATTTTACACATGAATGGATCAAAAGGAAATGAAACACAACGGTTGTCATTAGAGTCCACTTAGGCATTGGCCATCATGTGCCTGCCATCCAGAACAAACCCAGAAGCACAAGGCCTGTCCACCAGGAGTTTTCATTTTGAAAGAGAAGTATTTGAAGGCAAAGTTATAAAGTAGCTTAAGAGAAATTTTTTTTAAACTATCCATTTTTACTAATTTGGACATATTTTCAAAATTAGACTTAAATTCTCTTTCTCTTGCCTCTCTTCCATGTTAATTCTAATCTTTTGACCAATTTTTCTTCACTCTACTAATTTGTTTTTATTTTGTACCCTTCTCTCTTAATCTTATTTTTTTTATCTCCAGTAGTGTTGGCTGTGTGGTGGATACTCAATAAATGTTAACGGTATCTACCTTGACAATTTAGTAGTTGAGAACACAGATTAAGTAGATAACTGAGTTAGAACCCTAGTTATACCACTTCTGAACTATATGACCCTGGGGAATTACCCAACTTAATTATGCAATAGAGTTAATAGTATCTATCCCAAAGGTTTCTATGAGGACCAAGTAAATAATTTAATAAGTGTAAAAATGCAGTCATTGCTTATATTAGTCACCACTAGCATCATTATTATCACTATGTCTCAATCTCTGGGGTAAACATCAGGAATTCAAAGATACACCAGTCTTTTTGCCCATTTGAGTCAAAAAGGAAAAAAAAAAGTTTAATAAAATGCTGCAAGAGATACCAGGCTTGGGGGCCTAGGGACAGGGGGTAGGGGGGGTGGGGTGGGTAGGGGGGTGCTGAGTGCTGTGCAAACTGAAGGGCATTTTTTGTGCAAAGAAAGAAATATACGTCTATCATCTCTACACTTTGACTTAAAAGAGAAAATTACAATTTAGGCTGCAATGTCTAATTTTGTTTTAGAATAGATTTACTAAGCACGTCTCTGTGTTTCAAGGTCCCTGTCAGAAAGATGGAGGTGCTCGACCTATGGAGTTGCCCTTTGGGTTGTTTAAAAGCACATTTGCAGTTTGTCTTGATGTCTGTGAACTGTAGTTACATGGCGTTTCATGCATTCAATTCACCCTGAGGCAGAGCTTGTTCTCTTCCCAAAGGAAAAAGACTGGTTCTTTGGATATCTGTACAACTTCATTAATTTATAATGTATAACTTTAGAATTTGGGATAATTTGGATGGATTGGTTTACCTTTTATGTGGTATTTAAAAAGGGTTTGCTAAGCTAATTCAGAGAAGCCAGGACTGTGAGAAGAATGTTTATCTGCTTAGGAAAAGGGCCATCTGTTCTAAGCAATGTAAAAGGTCCATTTATAAAAGCTTACTTTAGTCTTCTACTTTCTGGTTTACAAAACCAATCACATAGGTCCTCTCATTTTTTATTTGATTGAAATATGAACCACATCAAGGCAATATAAACAGAGGTCGAGGGTGACTTGAATATTATCAATATCCTTTAATCTGTTCACAAAATTGGCCTTCTTCTATAAACAGTGCTAGAGTTTTACAGGATTTCTTTTAAAATAGGGAGTTCATTTGTCTTCTAACACTACAGTCTAGATAGAGTTTCATTAATTCAGACTGTTCTGCCCTCTAAATACTATTAATTTTTTTCCTGTGTTTTAATCACATAATATATTGTTCTCAATCGGGTGATTTCACCCCCAAGTATATTTATCAATTTCTAAAGACATTTTGAATGTTGAAACTGGGAGGAAGGATACTATTGGCATGTGGTGTAGAAGCCAGAGATGCTGCTGAATGTCCTCCAATGCTCATGGCATTCCCCACAATGAATTATCCAGCCCACGTGTCAGTACTGCTGAGGCTGAGAAACCCTGATGTGATGTGTAATCTCAATTACTCAATTGTGTACCCACAGGCTAAGGAGAAGGTGTGGTCATATCCCAACCTGAAAGAAATGGCACCTGTCAAAGGCAAGAGGACATTGGTCCCCACAGGTAACAGCTTCAGAAGACCAGATATCTATAGATAAAGAAAGTTCTGTTATAAAAGTCAGGTTGCTGTTGTTCTTATTCAGAGGAAGTTACACATTCATAAAGCCACATGTAGGAGAAGTGCAATTAAATACCTTTATTTGATTGGCTTTGGGTACTAGCTACCAACTAGAAAATCTTGGGGAACCCAATGGTTAGTTAGTTGGTCATGGTCATGTATACTTTTGCTTTTCTAAAACTCTTATCTGCTGATAAAGACAAAGCTGAATTAGAGATGCCATTATAGGAAGACAAATTGATGCTGATCATACACTTCCTCCATTGAAGTATTTGTGTCCTGTGGCGGCTTTTAGAAAGATCTTCTCAGAAGAGCCAGCCTTCCTCTGACAAAGAAAAGGTTAATAAACCCCACAAGGAAAATGCTGAGAAGTTTGTCCACATTTCATGCAAAAAGACCACAAGACAAGATAGAAGTGTTTGCTCTAACCAAGTCCCTAGAACCAAGAGAAAATACAGGTGGAAGAGACATTTTACACAGAGAGATTGTGTCAACAAGCAAAGAACAGTGCTGGAGGTGATAAGCAAGCCCTTGTGAATAAAAGTGAATGTCTAGTGTTCAAAAGGGAGGAAAATGGAATTTATTTTAAGAAAGAGACTAATGGAAGAGACCCTGAGGAAAAAAGGGGGATCATCTATTGCAAGTGAGACAGTGATGGACAAGTATTCAAATAAAAAGCCAAGTGTTGACAAAACTAATGGTGATCAGTTCTGTGAAAGGTAGGGGTAAAAACATTATACATCTATACTGATGTTCTTTGTAGATACATGTGCCATTGTAAATTATGGCCATAGCAAAAGGATAGCTGAAATAAGTTTAAAGCAATGGTTTAAAAACCAGTATTCACCTGTGTAGATTTTTTTTGCCACTTATCTTTCTTCATGCCTGTGATATGTTCATGCATTGTGTTATTTTCTAAGTCTCCTGCCAATGAAAAGACAAAATAATGATTAATAGCACTCACATCAATCAATATCTTTTTAAAAAATATATATTTTATTGATTTTGTACAGAGAGGAAGGGAGAGAGACAGAGAGCCAGAAACATCGATGAGAGAGAGTCATCAATCAGCCGCCTCCTGCACACCCCCTACCGGGGATATGCCTGCCAAGGTACATGCCCTTGACCGGAATCAAACCTGGGTCCCTTCAGTCCCCAAGCCGACGCTCTATCCATTGAGCCAAACCGGTCTCAGCTCAATCAATATCTTTTAAAGTTCAAGTAAAAAAAAAATTTTTTTTTAGCAATAGAGAGCACATCCTTCCTAAGGTCAAGAATTGAATAAAGATCAGATTTATTTGTAAGTTAAATCTAATTCTCAAAAAGTTTACCTAGCCATTTACATCTGAGAAGTTGCTTATTTCCCTCCAAATATTATGAGGATTGAGTAATAAATAAGATTACTGAATCACTCTTCAACTGCAAAGTTTTGCAAATAAATGCAGGTCACTATGTAGCCAATTACAATTAATTACCCTATCCTATCTAACAAAAGATAATATACAAATTGACCATCACTCCAACACACAAGATGGTTGCCCCGGTGTGGTGAAAGATGGCTTCCCCCGTGTAGACACAAGATGGTCACCACAAGATGGCCTTCAGGGGAGGGCAGTTGTGGGCAATCAGGCCAGCAGGGAAGGGCAGTTAGGGCTGACCAGGCCAGCAGAGGAGGGCAGTTGTGGGTGAGCAGGCCTGCAGGGAAGGGCAGTTGTGGGGGACCAAGCCTGCAGGGGAGGGTAGTTAGGGGCAACCAGGCTGGCAGGGGTGGGCAGTTAGGGGCAATGGGGCCAGCAGGGGAGCAGTTAGGTGTTGATCGAGCTGGCAGAGAGTGGTTAGGGGGTGATCAGTCTGGCAGGCAGAAGTGGTTAGGGGCAATTAGGCACTAGGCAGGTGAGCAGTTGGGAGCCAGCAGTCCTGGATTGTGAGAAGGATGTCCAACTGCCCAGAAGGATCGGGCCTAAACAGGCAGTTGGACATCCCCTCAAGGGGTCCCAGATTGGGCTGAGGGACACCCTCCCCCCCATGCACGAATTTTGTGCATGAGGTCTCTAGTGTTATAATCACCCACAGAATCTATTTGGAACAACAAAAAAAAATCCAAACATCTGTGGTCTTTTAAAAAAAAATTGGTTTAAAATATAATTCTTATTTTATTTTAAACACTGTATTTGAAATCTAATCATGGAGAAGTCTAATTTCCAAGAATTAAACATAAATAGTTATGTTTACTAAGAAAGTCTATTGCTGGGAAGGTGTGCTTCCTAAGATCTGGAGCTGTTGAAACAGAAATTAGGTCAATTCCTTCACCATAAAAGCTTACTCTCATTACTGTGAATGTCCACAAAGATTATTACTATTTTATTATGCTTCAATTCAGTCATTTCTCTCTTTTATAAAAGAAGGAAGTGAAAAAGTAAAGATCAAGTTAGTTACATATTCATGAAATGACTGCTTTTGTAAAGGTTCAATGGAATAAGTTGGGGTCCCAATAATTGGGGAGGTTCTCTGGGATCCTCGTTGCCTACATCTATCATCCTGGCACCCAGATACGATGGAGAAGCACATTGCTCCATTTTAACCCCCAAAACTGACATCACAGCCTATCTGTCACAAAGCTTAGGTCTCTTCACCAAAACACCACTCCGAGGAAGCTTTAGTTCTAAGAAATTTGACTACCTAAAAATTTCCTTCCCAAAACTTTGAGAGTTGCAGCTAAGTTTTATTTTTCAAGTGTGTCAGCAGTGTAAAAGCCATTTCCACAGCACAAATCCTCAAAAAATCAGTACTAGGACCTGTTTTTCAGAGTGCTGAGCAGACAGAGCACAGTAGCAGTAGTAAGCAGAGAGTGGTGGAGGAGCACGTCAGCAAAGAGGACAACAAAAAGAGCAGAGTAGATGTAGTAGGTCAGGTGAAGGATGCACACTGAAAAGGACACAGGAAATGAGACCAGTCTAGGGGAACTTGGAGTCCCCTGGAATTAAGACCTCCACATAGCAAGATCTGGTGACTCCACTCAGTATGAAACGGCTTTTGTTTCAACCTCTAAACTTTCTTAAACTTTTTTAGCAAGCATTTCTGAATAAATTTAATTTAGCCCAACATCCTGAAGGAGACATTAGGCTGTGTTGATGACATTTATGTTTGTAACACTATCACTTTTTCTAGTTTGAAGAGAAGAATGCCATTGAGATAATTTTTTCATGACTTTTTCTGCATATTTATAGTGTGAGAGATAATTGTCCATTTCAAATCAAATTCCCAGACTTATATTATCTCAATTAAAATATCAATACTTGGAAAAGTGCCTAACACAAGATAAATACTTAAGAATTATCTGTTGAGACATGTAAATATTTGAAAGCAAAGTTATTATCTATTTACCTCTTTTGTATATTTTGTATGCATGTAAGCATGTTAGTGCAGTAGATAAATAAATGAGGAAATGAATAGGTTTGTAGCAAGAAAGCTTTAACAGCAGCAATCATGGAAAAGTGAAAAGAATATTGGGAAAATATAATTTTGTATTTCGGAATCAATCCTGAGGTGGACTAGATTTTAAACCCTTAGGCTAGAAGTTATAATAGAAAGCAGGAGAAATTTGAGAGCTGTGGAATATATACTTAGCCAGTTTTACTGGGCATTTTATTTCCAGCCAGAAAAAACTCATATTTGTGCCTTAAGTATCTTAAGTAAAGGCTAAAATATTTTGGAAAGTAATATGTAATAATCTCAAATATTTTAATGATATGAAGAAACTTTTCACTTTTTTCTCCTCCCTGCTATAATTAAAATAAATTTGTGGTACTAAAAAAAAATGGAACAAACAATATCTCATGTTTGAACTTAAATGATCATACGCTTGGAAGTCTAACATATTTGGACTGTCTTGGGATTGGAGATTGACAACTATGTTGATATTTCTAAAAGTTGTCCTGAAGATGATTTGAACCAGAGGTTAGTGGTCCTGACATTCTTTCTCAAAGATGTCAGGTGTCACCTTCATGAATCACAGATCATAATATGAAATGAAAAGTTGTACTCCCTGGATCATTAGGAATAAAACAGATGGCCTACTGTATTTTATTATTAAATGAGCAAAATTTCACTCTGAGGCCCAATGCTTGGTGCTATAAAGAGTCTGACTGCTTAACAGATGGCCCTCCTTTCCCTCTCACCTTCTAGATGACGGCCCGGCTCCTCCCGCACCCTTTCATCACCGGATTGTAACAGCCAAAAAGACAGCAGTCAATAGTCTTTATACTGTGAGCAGAACAGAAATTTTAGGAGGGTAAGTCATGCTCTATCTTAACATACTTTTGACAAAAAATAGAACTTTCAAAGATCCGGAGGGTTTCTAAATATTTGCCAGTCTTGACCTGAGAATCAGAAATGTCATCAACAAACATTTTAAGAAATTTTAAGCATCACGGATGCCAGAAATTGATGTGGGGATTAAATTCCACATCAATTATCCATTTTGCTTCCCATATTGCATTGTCTGAGAGGACAGGAGCCACTGTGAGTCACCAGAAGATTGAGAAGCTGTCCAAAGTGTGAAAACTGAGAAACAAATGGTGGAAATGAGTGAACACTGTATTTCTTACGATGTGTGTTAAATCGTTTTGATGCTTGCTGTTGCTTTTCCATTTATGCTTGCTGTTGGTTTTCCACTCTCCTCCATTTCAATCAATTACTTTCTTCACTGAATAACTTGTTGGAAGGACATCTAAATGCACAGTCTTTCCCTGAAGAAGGTAGAGTGGAGTCCATCAGGGACCCGAGATCATTACTCTTTCCTTCCTCTTCTACTTCAGTCACAATCCCCTATGGTATCTTGTTATTTAAAGCCTAAATTCTAAAATTTAATATCATTAACATATCTATATAAAATAGGAAGAGGAAAACAGAAAATTTGTGCAAATACATACAAAATTTATTTAACAGCACTGGAAAATAACTATAGCTACTGTAATTTATGTTTCTGTGACTGGCCATTGGAGGTATTGTTGACATTTGTAAATCGCTTCTTTCTCTTCCCATTCTGTTTTGTTTTTTTCCCTTCTCTACTACACGAAACCACCTGAATTTTCCTCCTCAGCAACCTGATCCTGGAGAGCTCCCCTCGGGACTGTGAGGATGGGCTGAGGGAGAAGCAGGGGTTCTGAAACACGAGTAGGTGCCTTGGAGCCTGCAGCAGCTTGCCTGGGTCTTTAGCAGCAAGCTAGCAACTGCTTCTCAAAAGGAGAGGAGTTATTGGGCGGAAGAGGCTTTGAAACAATCCCCAGGGCCATGTTTCTAGTGAAGGCTGTCAATGGCTCCTTGATAAGTTCATTGGATCTTCTTGGTTTCTGCAATCTACACCAGTTGCTGGTCACCTACTATCTGGGCTTCACTCAAAACTGGCTGTCAGATCTCACTTGGTAAATAAGTTAGAGGACCACAGTCAATTGTATATTGTTGTCTCAAAGTGCAAAGAGATAATTAATGGCTGTATCTCCTTTTTGGTAATTAAAAGTTCCAGATGCAGATATTTATTGATTTTTCACCTTTAGTAGAGAATCACTGAATCCCACCCCCACCCACTATGCTGGTGGTGGCAGGCCCCTGACTTTTCCTGGGGTTCATCTCCGAATATAAGAGTATTTATAATCCCAATTTAGCATATTCAGCTAGCATGAGTTTATCAGTGTGGTGGGTCAGCAGGAGTACTTGAAGGCAGCCTCACCATTCAAGGCACTTGCAGAGTAAATCATGTGAAAGTTGAAGTAGTTCTGAGGTTAAAAGTGATGTGGCACATCTGCTAAGCCAGGCAGTCCTGGGGGCTTTTGTTAATCTAGGGAAGGAAAATTTTTTTTTTTTTAATAATCAGCAGCCACTTAGAATTCAAGTTATCACTTCGCTGTTTATGGACCCATATGCTTCTGTCAGGGTTGTGTAGCTGAGTTGCATGAGGTGTGGTGGTAGTCATCACCCTCCCTCTTCTGGTTGTTGCCAAGACTCTCACCTCTGCAAGCCTCTAAGAGTGCAGTGACATTAGGCTCCTGATGCTGTAAGGGAAGCTTCCTTGTGGCCCTACTGTAAGAGCCATCATTGCAGAGGCAGGCACTGGGGTTCTGTCTGTTTTACTAAATCAGGAATCACAGCAAGCAAGTCAGACTAGAAAATTATTCATGAGGGTACATTGCTGTCTGTTATTACCTTTGTAAGAAACTGTCTTACAAAGTATATATATTTATATCCAAGCTAAAGTGTCAAAAAGCTCAGAGATGCTGCTCTGGCTGGCGTGGCTCAGTGGTTGAACATCAACCTATGAACCAGGAGATCATGGTTTGATTACTGATCAGGGCACATGCCTAGGTTGTGTGCTTGATCACCCCCAGTAGGGGGCATGCAGGAAGCAATCGATCAATGATTCTCTCTCATCATTGATGTTTCTATCTCTCTCCCTCTCTCTTCCTCTATGAAATAACTGAAAAATATATTTTAAAAAAGCTCAGAAACAAGTATGTGTATGTATATGTGTTTATATATAATATTGTTATTACTTCTTTTTTATTTATTTGCATTTCCAAAAACAACAATGATGTGCCTGTTCATAACTTGTATTTTTCACATTCTTACAAAGCCTAGCTTATTATATTTCTATGAATTCAGAACAATTCTAATTTCTCCATAACAGAGGTTCTCAAATTTTAGGGTGCATATGAATTACCCATGAAATGTGAAATGCAGATCCTGGGGCCTCATCTCCAATTCCTGACTCAGTAGGTCTGGGGTAGAGCTGTGAAACATATATTTCTACCCCCAGAAGATTCTGATCCAGTGACCCACAAACCACCCTTTGACACTGTTGTAGAAGTTTATTGGCTACTAAAGATGCACTAACAGGTTTGCTCATTCAACTCAAAAGGAGAAATGCTTGGGGCAATTGCCTCATCTTGTTGGCAGTGACGAAAGCCAGGTTCTGGTGGGGACAGAGCCTCAACCTTGTCCTCTTCTTTGGCAGGGGACGCTTTGGCCAGGTTCACAAGTGTGAAGAGAAAGCAACAGGTTTAAAGCTGGCGGCCAAGATAATCAAGACTAGAGGCCTGAAGGATAAGGTAAAGGCTGTGCCATGTGGGTGTTTACTTACTGTTATTCTCACTTCACTGAGTGCCTGTCCCTCTTTTCAGGATGAAGTGAAGAATGAGATCACTGTCATGAACCAGCTGGATCATGTGAACCTCATTCAGCTCTACGATGCCTTCGAGTCTAAGAATGACATCGTCCTGGTCATGGAGTAGTATGTGTTCCCTTCTGCTTCCTCTTCCATTCCCCTGGAAAGCTGTGCACCCTGTGGAGAGAGACCCGCAACACCTGAGGCCATGGTGCTCTGTCCTATTGCTGAAGTTTCCAGATTTATGCTTGGTGCTTAGTGTACCACTGGTTCTGATAATCTCATCGGTTTCAGAAAGGACATTAATTGGAAATAGCTATTTCCATATATGATTTAATTAATAAGACGTAGAAAAGCAACATAGATCTAACTTTATATGCAAGCTATACTGTAAAAAATCCAGCTTAAATATTATTCTGGTTGACCTGGAGGATAGTGATGTTTGAACTACACTTTACTGTCCATGTAAAACTCTTAACAATTAGGGTTAAGAAACTTCCATTTAAAATCAGCTTTCTAAAACTTAGTGTTTAGTTAGAAAGTGAATTGGTATTGTGATTCAGTTCATTTTCTCCTCATTTGGGATTTTCTTTATCATTGTTTAATAAGAAATTTTGAATACTAAATATTTATCATCAGCCACACAGAAGCACTTTATCACTGAAATTAATCTGAGGAGACCCTATCATACCCTCAGTTGGTGTTTATAATTTCACTCTCTGCCTTCTTGGAGGCCTCTTTATTTTCTGTCTGTTAGAAAATGGTAGATGTAGACTTATTCCAGAGTGGCAGCCACTGCATGAAAGGGACTTTTCAACTTTGTAAAACTGATGGCAGGTAAGACAAAGTCCTTCAACCTAAGAGTCATCTGAGATAGCAAAGAAGGCAAAGAAAGAACTGTGTGTGCACCTTTATTGAAAGAGCTATAGGAGTGTATGCACCAACCTGCTGCAAGAAAAACATGTTCATGAAGGAATTAAGACTCAGGACTTCACTCCTCTCCCTTCTGCAGTGTGGACGGAGGGGAGCTGTTTGATCGGATCATTGACAACAACTACAATCTGACTGAGTTGGACACCATCTTGTTCATCAAGCAGATATGTGAGGGAATACGACACATGCATCAGATGTACATTCTTCATCTGGACCTGAAGGTAGAACATGTTTTGTATCCTGACCTTTCCTCTCGTGTGAATCAGAGGGCCCCATCAGACCCTATACACCAGCTTGGGTCTCTGAGACTGTCACTAAGTACATATTAAGTAATTAATAAAAATTCAGATTCTTAACCGTACCTTTCCATTTCCAACTTCTGTCACCCACTAATATTTGCATTCTCATTTTTTAGAGACTACTATTTAGATTCTTGCAACTTGTCTGTGTTAAAGAAATCCACATGGAGATCATTTTCTTAAAAGTTTAGAATTAAAACCACCACCACCATCACTAACATGGTGCCCTTGTTGTGTTTCTGTCATTATGTGCTAAGTAGGTGGGAGGATTTTATTAGGTCAACATACCCTTGTAGTAGCCAAGTCTTTCAGCTCTACAAGAATCCCTAGCATTCTTCTGGAATTCATTCAGGCAGCTCTTGACTTTAGGGCTTTGTTTTTTGACGGGCATGCTAGAGCACTGAAAGAGAAGCCAATGGCAGGATGGGATATGGGCAGCCAGAAGAATAGTGAGAAAATGGTGGAAAGTTTCTGTAAGCACTGGGAATCTAAGATACCTCCCTTACTTCTCTTATTCAATGACCCCTCCATTTTTGTTTTTGTTTTCTTAATATGTTTTTACTGATTTCAGAGAGAGGAAGGAAAAAGGAGAGAGAGATAGAAATATCAATGATGAGAGAGAATCATTGATCGGCTGCCTCCTGCATGTGGCCTGACTGGGAATCTTCTGATTCATATTGATAGATTGATGCTCAACCATTGAGCAACACTGTCCAGACAATGAACTTTCCCTTTTGATTTCTCTCCCATTATGAAGTCCCTAGGTTGTAACTAGTTACAACCAATGAAAGACCCAGGGCCAATAATTGACCAGCTCTAATATTCCAACTGAACATCATGAAATGTATCTTCTGTGTGGCACATTTTTCTCATTTCCCTGTTTACATAGCTTAGCAGTGAGATAAAGTATTCTATATAACATGCCATCTATGGTAAGTCACCAGGGCTTGTAGAAGTAAATACACTTAAGTTGCTTAAGTAGTTTCCCATGGGCCTCTCTCCTATAACTTGTCTTCTCTCGGTGTTTTGATTTATGTGCTCTACCTGTCCCATTCACAGGGCAGAAGTAAGTGGCATATAAAAATGGGAAAGTCAAAGGTTAGAAATCATTAACAAAGCCCTCAGCTATGAGCTGAGTTTGAGAATTTGTATTTTCAAGGAGCATTTCATTGAGTAGGATATTCTGCAGATATCCATAAAGGGATTTGATTGGCAACTGGAACTAGGATCCGACCTATCATAAGCGACTTCATATGTGGCTCCATAATGTTGACTGAGGACTTGCAGTGAATAATTTAGGCTACGACTTATACTTAAAGATATAATAAAGGCAGCAGCTGGACAGGCCATTAAAGACCAGTCATCCATTCAAAAAACTCCTTGGAAGGAAAAAGGCCAAAAATATTGAGTGCTTATCATGTGTAGAGGAGTTTGGAGGTGACTTAAAAATGCTCTCCTTTATATTTTTATAAATCTGTTTTACAAATCTTATTTAATGAATATGCTTTAATTCCATAATTAGAAAAAAATAAATTTTGAAGTGCCCTTGAAACTTCTTTACATTCTGCAACAATTTTGTGTGTGGTGTCATAGTAGGCTGACAACTAGATAGCTTTATACATGATCGATCAGTTATTTAAGCATAAAACCAAATGTTCTTATATGGCACCCACTTCTCGAAAGTTTTTTTCTCAGAAACATCTGTTTTAGAGATATGTTAGAAAAGATCTTCCAAAGACATTATACCTAACCAAATGGACTATGTTATTTTATAAAGTGTTTTCTGAGTTTCTGATCTCATCTGAGTCTCCTCTTCACCCAGACAGGATCCCTCCTAAAGGATTGGACATGGGATTTTAAGTATTCAATTACTCAGCTCATACTCCCCTCCCCCCACCCCCAGCAATAAGGGAAGGGATGGATTAGAACTTGAGAATCCAGGCAATTTGTTGAAAATTTTCTCTTTTATGGATAACCTTACTTTAAATTAGATCTCTCATATTTCTCTGACCTAAGCTTTTCTGTCCTAACATGTGTAAGACATTCTGTAAACCATTACAGTGCTACTATCTATGTTTCTACCTCTTCACCCTAAGACTGTCGGATTAGCAGGGCTAAGTGTTCCCAGAATCAAACTCCAAAGGAACACTTAGTCAAAAGTGTTAGGCATTGAGACCCAACTCAGCAAAACTTTGGAATTACAGAGAATGAAGAATGAAATGGGGGAAGCCTTCCTTTGACACATGACTTTCTCATAGACCAAAGCATAAAGGAAAATTTGGAGGTTGGAGGATTCATATTCTATTGCATATTCAGGGGGGTTGTTTAAGTGAATCAGGCCATTTCTCTTAGAATTCATAAATCCTTGGGTAAAATATTCCTCCAAGAAGGGAAATTCATACTTCATAATTTTAGGGGGAGCAGATGTCAGGTCTAAGACAGCCCCCACAGTACATTTGGAAAGTATTGAAGCAGTCCCCTTTTCCTTCCCTCATGGAGGCCTCCTGCCTGACCTCACACATCATGGTAAACTGCAGGAGCAGAGGGGAGATCAGGCGGGGTAATGCAAGTTTGGCATGGTACCCAAAACCTCGTCTACCACATAATTAAAGGAGAAAATACCCACACAGACAAGCCAGCCCAAAAGTGAAAGACCTGCTATGTTTTTCCTGAGCATCGTTGTATTTTTAGTTGTGGTTCAAGGGCAATTTGAGTGAATGATAGTTGTTTTCATTGCTAATGTGTCTCTTTCTCCTGGCAGCCTGAGAATATCCTGTGTGTGAATCGGGATACTAAACAAATAAAAATTATTGATTTTGGATTGGCCAGAAGGTACGTCTATTTGAACATAGGTGTATGAATGGAGTTAGGGAGCATGTTGAGTGCTCTTTCTTTGTAAAGACAAATCTGATAGATACATCCCTTAGCTTCATACCCTTATTTAAATTTACCTTAACAAAAATTATGTTTCAGTTTTACCTTGCTGACTTTGGGATTTGAATGTTTAGAAATTTCTACAGTGCATGCAAGAAAAAGATAAACAATTAAAACCCAATACAGGCAGTCCTCGGGTTAAGTCGGACATGACGTACATTGTTTTGTGGTTACATTGCCATCTCCCATTTATTTATGTAAAAGAAAAGTTCCGTCATTTTTACGTATGTACACATGTGCTTTATGTTTTTATTATTTACTTACCACAAGTAAAGATCATAAAATGTTACCTTTCCTTTTTTAAAAAAAATATATTTTTGTGGAACGAACCAGAGCAACAGAGGCCAGGCCCTGAGCAGCCAGGCCCGGAACAGCTCGCTCCTCGCCTACCCCTGCCCCACAGCTGCCTCTCAGACATGGCTGGAAACTTTCGTGGGAACATGAGGGTCTGCTGAATCAAGTGATGAAGGCTTAGATCTGGATGTGTTGAGTTAGTATAGGGCTGGGGTGTTGATCTGTGAGTGCCTTGGGTGGGGCCTGGATGAGGCTGGTGGACCTATTGGGAAATGTCTTTTGTGTGAAGTGTATCATTGGGCATGTGGAGGTATTATTGATATGAGAAAATGCTAAGTAACTGATTTACTATCTGAAAAGGGATTTACTATTGGGGAAAGGGAGGGAAGAAGGGACTGAACATAAACTGTGCACCTATGGATGAGGACAATGGGGGATGGGGAGGGGGCAGCGGGTGGGGTGGGAACCTGGTGGAGGGGGAAGAAATGAGGAACCTTTGTAATAATATGAACAATAAAGATTGATTTAAAAAATATATATATATATATATTTTATTGATTTTTTATAGAGAGAAAGGGAGAGGGTCAGAGAGTTAGAAACATCGATGAGAGAGAAACATCGATCAGCTGCCTCTTGAACACCCCCTACTGGGGATGTGCCTGCAACCCAGGTACATGCCCTTTACCGGAATCTAACGTGGGACCTTTCAGTCCACAGGCTGATGCTCTATCCACTGAGCCAAACCGGTTTCGGCTTGTTACCTTTCTTTTAAGTTTTATTTTACTGTTTCACTTCATTACTGCTGTGCATGTGCTCCATGTAGCGATGTAGATGCTTATGGAGGTGGATCCAACTTACAGTGAAACTTGCATTACATCGCACCATAGGAACATCTCCGATGTAACCTGAGGACCTCCTGTACAGTGAAGTTATTAAATTTAAAAACATTAATTCAGAATTTGTAAGAGTTTGTCTGTCTTTTATATTTGTTCCATCTGTAATGAGATTTACTTTAAAAAATAGTTGTAGTATAAACAAGATAGCAAGGTTCTGGAACATCTTAGGTTCTGAAGGGAACAAAGAATTTACATGCACTTCAACACATTAACAAAGAAATAAAATAGATGTTGTAAATTATTGCAATTAATGTATTCTATATAATAAAAGCCTAATATGTTAAGTGTCCGATCATCTAATCATCTGTTCAACCAATAAAAGTGTAATATGCTAAAGATATCCTAAGGCCACTCAACTGCTCACTATGATATGCACTGACCACCAAGTAGCTTCGACCAGTAGTTTAGTTTGCTGCTGGGGTCTGGCCAATCAGGACTGAGTGAGATGGGCTGGAAATGCCCTGGAGCCTTTCCATTGTCCCTTCCTGGCCCTGTTTGTGCACTGGTGGGGTCCCTTGGCCTCGCCTGTGCCCTCTTGCAATTCAGGACTCCTCAGGGAATGTCGGAGAGCCAGCTTCAGCCTGATCCTTTAGGCCAGGCTGAGGGACCCCACTGGTGCATGAATTTGTGAACCTGGCTTCTAATTAATTAATAAAGGTTTATTGAATCCATCTACATGTCAAGAATCACATAAGTTTTTATTTGATCACTAGATGCCTGGTGCACAAATTTGTGCATGGGTGGCATCTGGACAGCCAGGCCCCAATGGGGGCCAATTAGGGCCAGACCCACCACAGGAGGTTGGCCATCCCTGCCCCCAATCAGAAGGGGGCTGATCAGGGATGGAGCTGGCTGGGGGAGGGGCCACAGGAGGTTGGGGAAGCCAATCGGGTGCCCTAGTTGGGCTGGTTTACTGCTGCAGTGCACATCATAGCAACCAGTCATTCAGTCATTCTGGCACTCCTGTTGGGGTATATATATATATATATATATATATATATATATATATATATATATATTTACCATGCCATAGTCAACTACTTTCTAGGCTCTGTTGAATGCTGTGGGTGAAAAAAGTAAATTCCTTCCCTGATATATATAAATATTCCTTCACTGATATATATATATATTCTATAATTCAGGTGTTCTAATTATTCTAGTAGCTTTTCTCATAACTGTTTTAGATTATTAGATTATTAAAGTTTTATTGTATGAATTATGACTTAAAGCTCTTAGAACTTCTTCACAAGTTTTTGACACTTTAAAGTGATTTCCTTTAAAGTCTGTTTATTCTAAATTTGTTGTGTGGCTGAAGTAATTTTGTTTATAGACTGTGTCTTTTCAATTTTCATGATCTTTGATTGCCACTCACCATCTCTCCACTCGTCTTCTAAATTTCAGATACAAACCCAGAGATAAGCTGAAGGTGAACTTTGGAACCCCAGAGTTTCTTGCCCCTGAAGTCGTGAACTATGATTTTGTTTCCTTTCCCACTGACATGTGGAGTGTGGGGGTCATCGCCTATATGCTGTAAGCAGATCACTAATCTCCCTGACACTTATTCTCAATCATTATGCATATTCTATGAGGTTATGCTATTTTGAATGAAAGCTCTAATTTAGCTATCTTAAGAATAAATAACACCATGCCATAGTCAACTACTTTCTAGACTCTGTTGAATGCTGTGGGTGAAAAAAGTAAATTCCTTCCCTGACCATCATCTGAAAAAGTAATGGTATGTCTTCTTTGCTGGTCATTTCAACTCCTCAGACACCACCCAATGCCTTAAAAATAATTTTAAAAACTATCTTTACTCCCTAGAGGTGACACTCCCCGTGTTTGCCATGTGACAGACCATCTCAGCCATAAGTGCTGTAAGAGGAGGTTGTGCTGGTCTGTGAGATGCACAGTCAGGTGCGGCTGCCACTTGGGTCCCTGCAGTTCTTTAACAGAAATGGGTTGGGGGAGGTAAAATGTATATTTTTATGTTTAAATTATGTTTAAATATTAGTTTGTTTGCTTTATTTCATTTTTTTTAAATGAGAGAACCACAAAAAGCAACCTATTTATGAGGAGTTTGAAGCAGTTGAAAAAAAATACTCACTCTGGACCCTGTGTCTTGTAGACTTAGTGGCTTGTCCCCCTTCCTGGGTGATAATGATGCTGAGACCCTGAACAACATCCTGGCCTGCAGGTGGGACTTAGAGGAGGAAGAATTTCAAAACATCTCAGAAGAGGCCAAGGAGTTCATCTCTAAGCTTCTCGTTAAGGAGAAAAGGTAACCCCAGTTCATCCAAGGTTCTGGAAGAAGTTGGGGCTATAGAGGAGCAGTATGTCACCAGGACTATTAGAATTAATGACATATAATAAAAATATATCTAGGCTCTGTTGCATGCTTTGGGTGAAAGAAGTAAATTCAAATATTTATCGATGCTTGCACCAAGTTGTAAATAGGAAGAGTTGATGCTCTTGACACAATTTACTGATATATATGACTGCTTTGGTCATGAGGTTTGAATGGAGCTGCAAAAACTTCAGTCTTTGTCTTTTGCAATGAGGCTTTTGCACTAAAAGGTTCTCACTGGACCTCAGTGACTCACCCTCCAAATGAAGGCTTTGGGATGAGTTATTTCCATGACACCTTTCACATTTATGAAGCACAAATACAGCTTTGTGTAGATGAACACTTAACTATTATTTCATTTGAGAACCTATAATGGGCCAGACTGTGCCAGGGCATTATCTCTTTCAACCCTCAATCAGTTCCATGAAGTGGAAATTATCATTACTGTTTTATGGATAAGACTCTTAGGAGTTTTCCCAAGATCATACAGCTAGTGCGGTAGAATTTATAATCAAACACAAGCTTACCTTACCCCAAGGCCAGACACTTAACCATTGTACTCCATGGCCTTCTATTTCCTGCCATGCTGAGACAACATTCGTGTAAGTTTCAGTTTGTGAAGAAGAGGAGGCTGGCCTTTTATTATAGAATAATGGACAGGGCAAGGACATTGTCATTACCCTGCAAATACAGTTTTAAATGGTTTTATATCTAAAACACAGTACAGTGGGTAGTTTTTAAGATTCTCAGGGCCAACAATACTTGCTTTATTGTTTCATTTTAGTTTTGGCTTTTAAGTTATTAATAAGCATGACTATGAACCAATACAGAGGAGGGAGCAGTGGAGGGGCTGGTAACACACAACATGGGAAAGGGTCTGGTATAATGCCTGTCACACAGAAGGCTCTTTTCCTGAAACAAGTAGGGAATTGCCTATAGTCTGCCAGGGAATGTGTCTTGAGCATTGAGGGCAAATGTATAAAGCCCAGCCCGTGCCTTTAGGTAACTAATGATCTAGTAGAAGAGATACAGTAGGTATTTAAAAAAAAACAATGGATGTGACTAATGCAAAGATAGAGTGTATTGACAAGGGCCAGAGCTAAGTCCTAAAGGGGAGGAGGACTTGGCCAGGCTGGGGTCTCAGTCTGAGAGGAGAGGTAATGAATAGTCACTGGTCATATGGCCCTATCTTGAATGGAAAGGCACATTCATGAAAAGCTGATGTTATTATCATTATTTATAACACTGAATGCCAAGCAGTAAACAAAGGGAAAACATCAACTCTATGAAATCTTTGATAGATGAGAAATACAAATTTATTGAAAACCTATTTAGAGATATAGTAAGTCTTCACTTAATGCTGTTCATAGAAAACTTGGACACTTGGAAACTTGACTTTAAGTCAAATGACATATACCAAAACCAATTTTACCATGGGCTAATTGATAAAAGCAAGATATATCATTGCTTTTATCAATTAAAAATGGCATATTTTTGGTCACAAAAGCACCAACAAACTTCTAAATAATGACCAAAACACCAAAAATATGAAAGTGAGCTAATATACATTAAGAAAGATTAATTAAAAACAAGGACATGCCCTACTTATTTTAGTTCAGGCTTGGAAGTGGCTCAGGGCAAAGGTGGAACCCATGCTGGTCAGGATGCCCTTCCATTGCAGGGCACACTACAGGACAGTGCAGACACTCCAATGCATGCACGTGAATATCTCTGGGTTGTGGGAGGAAACTGGAGTGTCCAGAGGAAACCCTTGCAGAAAGGACAGAGTACACATGCACAAACAGTGTCCCCAGCTAAAATTGATTTTTTCCCTCATCAACGTATAAGGAAATGACATTGAACTAAATGACATTATTTGAGGACCTGTTGTATCCATTTACCTGTTCTCTGGTTTGATTACATGGAGATCCTGAGGTGTGTGGCTATCATCACCATCATATTATCACTGGGAGCAGTAAAGCAGTCAGGGCTCCTCAGGGCAGATTCTGAGCTGGGCCTTTTGCACTTCAGCCCTGTTTCTGCTGCTCCCTTTGTCTGCTGGTTTCTTTAACACTAAAGGAGCAGCAGATACACATTTGGGCAAAATGACAACTAGTTAAGTATTCATGTCAATACCTGATGAAACCTAGGCCAACGTTAAATATTATCATGACAGAATATAAAATACTCTCTTTCAATACTTACATTAACTTTTCACTTATTTTTCTACTTATCTCTTTGAAACTTTTTAATTAAAAAGTTAGTAATGCATATAATTAAAGTTTTAATACATCAATTGCTTTTGCAAGAATCAAGAATCATTGTAGCATTTTGTCCTTATAATAATAAACATATGTTTATTCTTCAATTGACTAAGAGCACAGTTTATGAAGCTCAGACAGTACATCAAGAATATAATATCCTCTCTCTCTATAAAAGCCTAATATGCAAAGTGTCCCTTCAGGAGTTTGATTGTTCACTATGACATGCACTGACCATCAGAGAGCAGAACAAAATAAAGGGAGTTCCCGGCTGGCAGCTGCTAGGGACCCTACCTGTGCACAAATTTCATGCATTGGTCTTCTAGTGTACAATAAAAGGCTAATATACAAATTGTCCTCTGGACCAGGAGCTTGATAAGGGGTGGAGCTGGCTAGTCAACTGTCTGTGGCCCCTCCCCCCAGCTGGCCCACCCGATTGGCCCCTATTGGGGCAGGCTGGCAGGACCCCTCTTGTGCACCAATTCATGCACCGGGCCTCTAGCCTACTATTTGAAAGTAGATGCCCGGTTATTAATAAGACATTGGAATTGTTGCCTTGCTTTGTCTTACCCATGTTATTACCCTGGTTGAATTAGATGGTAACTTACATGACACTGACATTTTCAGAGCAGTCAGAATGGCCTGGGAACTTCACCATCTGCATTGGTCTCCCAAAGGCAGTGGCCAGAGATGAGCTTGAATGGCAGGTTCAGGCCTCATCGGGCATGTTTCCTCTAATAACCTTCTGAATTTCCCTTTAGTTGGCGAATAAGTGCAAGTGAGGCTCTCAAGCACCCTTGGTTATCAGACCACAAGCTCCACTCAAGACTCAAAACACAGGTAACCAAGGCTCTTCTTTGTTTAGCCTCAGTTTTTTGATGATCAGATGCTTGAAGAATTTTAGCCTTAAGAGAGGTTCTATTTAATTCCTTTTCTCATAGCCTTCTAATCTATGCTAGTGTTAAATTGCTTAAAATGCTTTTATTGAGCAGTTTTTGATTTTAAAATAAATGTTGTGTTATGTTTATTATTAAATCTTTGTATCTATTATAAACTATGCTATGCATATGTACTTATGCATACTTTACACAAACACACATATAGTGTAGGTCAAATGAACATATAAAGTTTGGGAGACTATATCAATGTATGTTATGTCTCCTTAAAACAGAAGTCAATTTCTAACTCTTATGCTTACCTGGTTTAGTCTTCTTTGGCACCAAAAACTATTATACTCATCTTGGTGCATTTATTAATGTAAATATATGTAAAGGATACTCTTACCAGAGACAAAATGAAGATGACAGAAGAATTTAGTATGAATAATTGAGCCCACTCCCTTATTAATAAATAAGTAATAATTAAGTCATAAATTCCTTATCTACTCTTATGGCCTTAATTACCATTTATATTCTGATTCACTCATCTGTCTCTTCAGCACAGATTTGTTTCCTGAACTTCAGGTATACAATCCACATGTGTACTGATATTTCCACTTGGATCTTCTCCTAAATTGAACTCATCTCCCCCTACCTCACCCCATCCCCAACCCCTCCCAGAGTGACTTCACTTAATGACCTTAAAGGACATCTTCATTTTTCCCTCTTTCTTTCTCAATTCCCTCATTTCATGCTTAATTTATCCCCAAGTTCTGCACATTATTTCCCTAGTTACTTCTGGAATCTGTCTCCTCTCCAACCGCATAGTTATTCTGGTCCAGGTCAACCCTCATCTGAACAACCATGATAGTCTCCTCTAGATTATCTCCATTCAAGTCAATGACATGGAAGCAGATGTGTAGTATTTAAATAACTTTACTAGATATTTAAAATTTTCAACTGAACAAGATACATTCAGAGCAATCAGCAGTCTAAGTCTTCAGGCTCACTGAGGGTTGGTATGACGTGAGCATCTGGCCCCTGGGTAGCATGACTCTGACACACTTTCACTTCCTCCATCTCTGATCCTTATCTTCCACACTCCTTGGGGTTCAGAATGGAGTTTTTCCACTGACCAGCAAACCTTGGAATGACTATGCTTCAGGTATTCATTTTTTCCACATTCAGTTTGTATTGAAATTAGCTTTGCTTCTAAATTCAGCATCAGTACTCAATTTTATTTGTGTCTGAATATACCTTTCCTTGATAATTGGTACTGATGGCAAGTAAAAATAGACATACTACCTATTCTGTACCTTACTCAGTCTACATAAACTGCTTATTAGGGTTACCAACCTATTTTGGGCCAATTTTCCACCAATGTATTTTTATCCAAGCTTATTGGTGTCTAAATACACTTTGACATGGTAGGACAATATGGAAACCACAGTGGATAATTAATGACATTATACAATTTGAAAAGTGTTTAAAAATATTTTTTAAATGATGTAACAGCAACAAAATCAACTTTTTGTTATTCTATCTGCTGGTACCTAAGGTGGGTAGATATTTCATGAATGGTGAGGATTAAAAAAATTTCATTGATAAAGCTAGTTCATTATTATAAAAATTATAGTTATTGGCACTCTTCTAATTGCTATACAAACATTAACTCATTTAATCCTCACACCAATCCTCTGGAACAGGCACTGTTCTCCTTAGTCTGTGGATGAGGAAGCTGAAGAGATGGCATAAGCTTTTCTTGTGACCCAACCATCTATATATAAGCATCAGACATAGCTCTCTGTGGGTAGGAACAAAACATTCCCAAACTACAAGTATATTAGAACTTAACCAGCACCTACTACAGATAGTACATGCTTTGGGACCAAAGGAAGAAAAACTGAATAAATGTGAGCCGTTTCCTTATCTCCCAGTGCCTTCTATTATACCTTCCTTTTCATTCCCACGTTACTTCCTTAGCACATTCATCCGATTCACAGACCTAATAAAACAACCCATGAGCCGATATTCAACCTCCATTGGCTCTTTTCGTTAATTCACCAATCATAATTTCTTTAATTACAACTCTGATCATATTACTCTGATCAAATAGTCTCGGTTGCTTCCCATTGTGCACAGCAGGCACAGCCAACAGTCCAGGCCTCTTCCAAGACGCCCTGATCTCGGATCCAGTCTTGTTCCACTCATTCCTCCAGATCAGCCCAAATCATGGAGATTGTCTAAGGCCTATTTTAAATGCCACCTCCTTTAAGATGGCTCTTCTCAACCCCCAACTGGAGGTGCTTTCTCTGTTTTCCTGAGCCTCTCTTGTAAAACTTGACTCTTGTCTGCTGGATTTGAAAACTTTTGGATGAAGCAGTTTCTGTGTCCAGCGCATCTTTGTAGTCACTGCAACCCAAGTCTCAGTTCTGACTCTTGTGCTTTGTCTAAGTGAATGTCCAAGGAGGTTTTGGCAGCACACACATGTGTGAAATTTAGGTGTTGTTAGGGGCTGAGTACTTTGATCCTGACTCTGAGGGAGGGTAGTGATGAAAGGAGCTCCAGGGCAGAGTGGGGTTGTGCCTGAGCTGGACTCTTCATATCTGTCAAAGGATCATTAGCAACAAGGTTTCAAGAACTTTCTACTCAGTAGAAAATAATTGACTCAAGTGTTTTCATAAGTCAGGAACTGATGCAAAAAAGTTCTTATCCTTCCCCAAATGTCTTCTGGTTTTCCTAGGAGAAAAATTGCTGCTCTGATGCTCAAGATCTTGTGACCCAATAGTCTCCAGAAGAGGCCCATTTGAAAGGTTGGTCTCAATGCTGAGCTGTGTGTAGTCCTTTTCCTGAAAAGCTGTGTGCAGTACTTAAGAGAAATCCAGTGTTTGTTGCATTATGTGGGAAGCAGAGTGGTGGTTTTGGCTGAAATGGGCTGGGGGACAAAGATTGCAGTATTTGCACCTGGACTCTGCCATTTTCTAGCTGAGAAACCTCAGTTTCCTGGTTTGGAGTTGGGGAGAGTCTTACTTCCTAAGTTTCTAAATGGCTCCACTGAGATAATCCAAACAAGGTCTCGAGACCAGTGCCTGGCACATAGTAGGTGCTCAATAGGTGCTCGTAATGGAACAGAAACTGCCTCTGGTGGTCCTTACGACAGCTGTGTTAGATCAGAGGAAGTAATATATTTTTTTGCCTAGACAGGTAAACTAAGCCTTAGAGACTCAAAGACTCAGTAACTCACCCAAAGCCGAACAGCTGGTCAGTAGTAGAATGTCATCCTCTTAGGGTCTCTGAATCTAAAACTCACATTGTTTTTCTCTCCTAAGCTGCTTCCTGGTCTTTACCCAATCTTGGACCCCATGTACTCTACCCTGCTTAGAATTTTGTTGGAATTCTTAAGAGATAGTTTTATACATGAATATCTTCTGTTATATCAGTAAGCTATCCCAATTTGTGCCCTAAAGGAGAAGCCCAAGCAAGAGTACTTTATATTATAGAAGGCTCATAGAAACCCCAATATTTATGTTCTTGTTGGGGGATACGTCCTAGGGCAATGAGTCCAAGGTATTTTTGTAGCTAAATTTAAATAACTATGTAGGACTTAAAATTTGTTATCCTGCATTATTGCTGCCTCTGGTATTAATCTTTTATCCTGTAAACAAATGTGGCTGTCCTGTCCTTGGGATTTCCAGCAATTAGCAAATTGTGGGGTGTGCAGAAGATTGCAAGTGCTTCAGATTGGCCTGGGGTTGGGAATTCGGTGACTACCAAGGCCAGCCTGGCAGATGCCCTGGAGCTTTGGGACCCAGCACCTCACAAGCTCCCAAAGTGGCCCAAGGCCTGCCCCGCTCCTCCCAGGCTGCTAGCAACTGCTCCAGTCCAAAGAGATCCACGGGCTCTTAATCTTTTATTCAGATTTGTATTTATTCTGCTCTTGAGGTTTTTGTTCGTCTATTGGACTGTGTATATTCTTGTAAGCTGACTTGAATCTTTTATAGAGTAAGACCGAGTAGAAATAAATCAATACACCATAATAAAATTCACAAAACAGTGTTAGAAATGTCTTTGGCCTTTGGTGTAAATGTCATTTACTTAGGAGTCTACCACTTATCCTGAAATCTGTGAACAGTCACAGGGACAAAGAATAAAGCACTGAACTGGTCACACTGTCGCAGCTATGTAGAACCATCTTTGCTGGAACAGCTCGAGGAGCCCTCTCCCTGTACTTGGTCTTGTCTGCTTCCTGACAGTCACTTGGGCTGTCCATCATCCCTTCCTGGGTCCCGCCGCTCTGTCTGGCCACAGAGGTCACCTTGGCCCCTGTAGGTGCAGGACGAGTGTGTCAGGTCCACACAATGTGGTCACTTCCGAGTTTATTTTTTTACTTTTTGTTTTCAGATTAAAATGTAAGCTTAAGATATGGACTCTGGGAGCAGCCTCATGTTTTTTTAAAAAATAGCTCATTCTTCACAGTATTTCCTGCTAGGCTAAGAAGGGGTTTTTGGCAAGATCTATTATGAGTAAAACCAACTTTGAGATAATATTGATTTTAGAAATCTGGTGGTTGGAGATTATTTCTGTGGAAAAAGTATGACTTCCAGGCCCTATGAATAAGGCATAATCCACAACGTAAATTGTGGCATATAAATCTCCTGCAATTTGTTAGAGGTTTTTTGATGCATTGAGGAAACACCCTAAAAATCTCTCTAGAAACAGCGGCATTTCACTGTTCCCACTGCATTCTTTGGAGCCATGAGACATAAATTTGGGACACCCCAGGTCTATAGGAATGATGGAGGGTAGCAAACGGTGTGTGGGCCAGGTCAGACGCAGGCCTAGAGTGAGTGGAGGTCTCCCTACTAGCAACCCGCAGTCTCACTTTGATGCCAGATTGAGCTGATAGAGTGGACGGTGGCAGCAGCCTTGGGAGCTGGCTGTGCTTCTGAAGGAACAAAGAGGCCTTGTCCTTCGATATGGCACATAGTACTGAAATATCTTGCATAAACTGAAAAAAAAAAAACTAACCCCACTCTGGTAAGCATTTGGACTCCTTCAAAGGGTTCCTTTTTTTCCCTTTCACATACACACATACATTATTAAAAATCGTGTGTGGTTTTCCTAAGGGCACAACCAACTAATTACAATTTTAAAGCTCTGTTGAATTAACAAGAGTCATATTTTGTTTGCTTTGCAGGAAAACTGCTGGGGTTGCTGCTGCTTTGAGATTTTTTGAAAAATCAGCAGTTCTGATACCTTGACCCCTATGATGACTGGCGGCCTTGGGGACGTGGGGGCCACCGCATTTGAACTCAGAGCCTCTGGTTCCAGAGGCCTCCCAGCACTCTGGCCCAGGGGGCACAGGCAAGCCTCACACTCCTCTCTCGCTTCCCCATGCCCCTTGGTAGTGCATACTTGGGAAGCTATTTCCCTGTTATCTGGAATTTTTTATGTTTTATTTTTATTTCTTGATTTTAGTCATGGACTAAATGCATTATGTCTGCTACTTATCAATTTACTGACACCATCATACTAGAGATTTCTTTTAAAACCTGGAGGATGAATTTAGAGGAAGAAAACTGCTTCCAATCATTAAATGATGCCTTTTGAAGGGATGATCATATGGCCAGAAAAAAATGCAAAGTCTCTTGTACCCTTGAACATTAGTTTCTTATTATTTTGATTTGTTCTGAAATCAGGTGAATGCAGTTGATAAATAGTTTGCATTCTGGAACATAAGCTTTCTTTGAATCCTGCAGCACGAGGCCTCAGACATCCTATCTTCTGTTTAATCTGCATTTCCCCCCAATTGCATCAATTTCTCCCAAGTAGCTGATTCTATTTCAAATGAGTGACACACAGTTTCCTAGTGCATTCCCCGCTTTCCTCTGATTGAACATCCATCTGCTTGCAGCCCACTGGTTTTGAGAGGTGGTGAAGGAGACATCTATTTATGGGTGGTCCTTACAAACCTTTGGAATGATGTCAACAGTGATGAGAGCTCTTCTCATGCTGCACTTGTCAACAAGGAAAGATAGGTCTTGGGCAGCCTGTGGAAGAACAATGCTGTGCTTTGCCATGTTGAAGAGACTGGGAAATGGTATTCAAGTAACACAAACACTTTCAAAGCCACATGATCTCACTTACATGGAGTCTCACAAGGCTCAGTGGTTGGGAAGAAAAAGCATTCAGAAGTCAAAAGTCCTCATTTTTTGGACACGAGAATGATTTCCAGTGGACGCTTCTTGTTCCTGAGCTCCTGCACCATTTCATCATGGATGCTGAATAAGGGTCATGAGACCAACTGCCTTCAGCACAGAAAGGCCCACGGCCTCTCAGGAATGAGCTGGCGCAGTTTCATCATGAAGAAGAGGCGATGTGGAGCCACACTAACTCTTTTTTTTTTTTTTTTTTTTTTCACACTAACTCTTGTTACACACCCAACACCGAGCTCACCATCGGCTTCTTACATTTTCCTCACACTTTCCATGTCAAATATTTGCTCTGCTGAGATTAGCTAGGAAAATGTCTTCATTGTTGGCTGTAAATTGTTCTAGGCTTTTGCTGTCACAAAAGCAATGAAATGAACTAAGAATAACTTGATGGCCGCATCACTGAGGGCAGTTTTAACTTGCATTGGGTTTTTCTCCATTATTTCTCATATCCACCCAGTGAATCCTTATAGCATGCCAAGAATGACTCTTTGAGCAATGCCCTTGTTTTCACATATAAGGTAACGAGGAAGTAGAGAAAGAAGAAAATGTTTAATTTAGTTAAGGCCAATGACAATTTAGTGGTTGTACTAGAAAATGGACCTTCCCTACCCATGGCTCCTACACTACGCTGCATTTCTTCTTTCCTTTGGCCCATGCATTTACCCAAGGTTGGCTTCTCCAGTTCCTGATATGTGACTATGCTTAAAATGTTTAATTTAGTTTCCTTAGAAAAAAAGCCCCGTGACTGAAGTGTTATATTGCTGTGCTATCTTTAGCTGATGGTATTCATAGAGTCTGGAAAAATACAAGCCAGTGCACGCATTAATACTCAGACCACAGAGCGCTGGCCTTTACTCAAATGCTAAATAAGACACAAGGGTCTGATTTGAAAGCCTGCATGGAAGGCTTTTCTGTCCTGTAATGTGCGTTCTGTCCCAGTCAGAGCAGAGGTCTTCTGCATGATGCACAGTTTGCATTCACTCCCTGCCTTGCGTTGGCAGATAAACTTTCCCCAGGCCCTACCGCACATGCAAGAGCACGCGTAGGCCAAATTTCTTTGCAGAATTAATCCACTGATGACCCTGCACTTAGTGGGTATGATTTTCCCCCCCAGAAAAGGTTTAGAGAGGGTAATCTCCTTTGAAACTGGATCTCCTTTGAATTTGTAATTAAATTTCCACATTTGCATGAGGAAGCCTCCACATGCCAGCAGGCACCTTTCACAGGAGAGCTGAGGGCAGTTTGCATGGTCCAATTGATGATTACAGTCTAGAGTTATATGAAAGGGGAGCATTTCAGCCCCCAGCTCATCCTGTTGCCTTCCTCCGCACCCCTGTGAGGCTGTTCCAGCCAGAGCCCTGATGGGCAGATTGCCGATTGGAAAAGAGGCTTTGGACAGCGAAGGAGTCAACCAGCATGACCCGTGGAAGCTAAGTCTGGCTAGACTGTGGCTATTGTGATAGATTTTTCCAAGAAGTCATTAGGACTTGAGAGCCTGTATTTCTTCTCCACCCTCTTAATGACGTGATATGGCTTCGCTCACTTGAATTAGGCAGTTGCCATTCCTTTAGTA